CAGGTCCCTTCAATGCCGTGGGCATCGGCGAGCAAAGGGCGACCACGGATTCAGAGGCAACCCGCTGGTGAGCCTTAAGGACTTAAGGACTCAGAGCTTGAGGACGTTGGGCATTCAGGGCTCCAGGAATCAGGCGTTTCTGGGCTCTTCAAAAGAAATACTGTTGCGCTTTTAGTAGATTTTGAGCCGGAGGGGTGCATTCTCTTGCTGAGATCCCAAGAAGCTGAGAGTTTACGACCCCTTTGGTCCTAAAGCCCTGAACGCTTATCCGGGGTTTGCATGCGGCGTATAGGTGCAAACAAAGCGCTTGATGAGCGCCGACCGGCTCGACATGTTTCGACTGCTAACCTGTGTGCGGTCAGATTGCAATGGCAATTGCCGCCCCCCTGCGCTCGGTAATTGTAGGAGTAGCGGGGGGTGCATAATTGTAGGACATGTTTTCCTACAGTTGCCAGTGTCCGCGTCCAGGAGAAATAAGCAGGTGCAGGTAGCTGCAAAACGCAGACCCAGAAGGGGGATCCTGCATGATCCTACAATTGACGCATTCGTATCGGTGCCGGACCTCCGTTTTTTGCCCCTCCTCCTAAGCATAGGGGTCTGCAATTGCCACTCAGAATAATAACTTGAATGACGACGTGTTTCAAAAATCTGATGCGATGCCTGCTCGCGCTGCTGGGTGAAGAAGACAACGCTGATCTTGCAGTGCGCCGAACGTACCGCCCGTGCTGCTTACTGGGCCACTGGGCATCCTGGGCCGACGCACTGCCTGTGCTGCACGCGCGCCGCCCGAAGCCGCCGCCAGGTGCCCAGCAGAGCTTGCTGCAGGTCCGGCTGCTGCTGCCGCCCGGGTTGCGCGGTGCCGCTGAGGCGGGCTGCGTGCTCGAAGGTGCTGGATGGCAAGGCCGCCGCGCTTGGCACGATGTACACAACGGTGTGCGCCCCGCGCACTGCGACTTGCGTGAACCTGGCGAGAGGTGCCAGGGTTGGCAGCATCACGGATACCGCGCGTGCTCGCCCACTTTCGCGAGAGTTGTTTCCTACCTAGGCCAGGCATGCTGCGTTCGCAGTCCGGGGCACACGCAGTCGCGTGGCTCAGTGCCATCCCGACTGTTCGCCCGCCGAGCCAAGCCCCCCGAGCATGCATGGGTGCGCATCGCGTGAGGCTGTCAGACCCGAGAGCCAGGTCGTCCCGCAGCAGTGGTTGGGGCGCACGTCCGCACGTGACGTTGACTCCGCCGATCGCCGCCCGCCGTGACCTTCTTGTGAACGGGGCTGCTCCACTTGGCGACGCGTTGTGTTGCACGCTCGTGTCAGCTCTGACACGTGAGAGGCGGCCCCAGCCCCTTGCTGCCACTCGCGATGGCGCTGCGATGGCACCGCCATCACTGTCGTAAAAAGGCGCAAGCACATTGCCTACCCTGAGCTTCTGCAGCCCCGGCCGCAGCGACTGTGCGTCCTCGCTTGCAAAGTTGGAGGCCGTGTCACTCACGCCGCTGGTGGGGCTCCTTGAGCGGGGCTCTGCAAAGCACAGTTGCTGCCACGCTGTTCGGAACGCTGTACGTCGCTGGCGTCCTACTGGCGCACAGCACCCGCCGCTTGAAGACGTGCGGCACTACGCAGCCCCTTCCGCCCCCAGCCGTGTGGGCCTGCAGTGCGCAGGTTGCACGGGGAGTTGGTTGGACCTTTTGGTCTTGCGGACATCACAAACGTGCGGGAAAATCTGATGCACAAGCTTGCAACAAGAGTGCCACGAAGGGAACTAAAATGGAGAGCAATAACGAAAACTTAGAGTGTCACTCGCCGCCGAAGCCTGCAGCTGGCACCGGGGCTTGGGCCCTCTTTGACTTGCAGTCGCAAGAAGGCGCGACCTAATGATCCGCTCGTGAGACTCAATGTGTTGCATTTCGGCAGCTAGTTGGGGACTACGGATCTTAACTCTTAACTGAATCATGTGTGGTTTCGGGGATAAGGCCCAAGGCCCACGGAGTCACTTTTGTTGCGTTTCAGCCTGACACCACGCAAGGCCCGAAAACAGGCCCCGAAAACGTTTTGGACCGTTCGCTTTGGCTGCACGATTGGAGGGTCCTTTACATGCAAAACCACCCAAAAACTGCATGTGCTCGTTTCACTGTTGGTGGACGTCAGCTGTCCCTACTTGCCAGGCTAAACACCGACCTCGGTGCTGCTGGCCGGCCTTGCGCTGCTTAGAGCGTCGTCCGCCCGCCGTAGCATGCAGGTGGCACCGGGACCTGGACCCTTTTTGACTTTCAGTCGCAAACAGGTGCGGGAAAAAACACCACGTCGGTTGGAAACAGGTCCTCAACGCCTTTAGGCATCGCTGAGGATTACGTCACCACATGCAGTGAGTCGGGATGCCTGGTACCAGCTGCAACAGCAACAACACCCCAGCAGCCGGCAACAGCAGCAGGCAACAGCAGCAGCAGCAGCACCACCACCACCACCACGACCCGAACCGTGGGGGATAATCTCTGAGACGTTTTCCTTTTTCCTCCTGCTCGGCTTGCTTCTGCTGTTGCACGAACAACTCGAACTACAAGGACGATCACGACGCCGAGTAGTTCTTGTGTTGATAATGACATCATCCGAAAACCCACGAGTTATAGACAAAGTTGTTGCGCACAGTTTTGGCACCACAATGAATTAGTGTCAAGCCAGGGAGTTCTCCGACTCCGAACATGTTTGTGAACTTTTTGTGAGAATTCATTGAGCTGCATTGAGCACAAACAGCACTGCACCAAAACAACAATGCAACGAAGGCATGTGCTGGATTCCACCTCTCGCGTGCCACGTTGTTAATAAGATAAAACAGGATGTGACCACGTCTCGCAGCAAGCCATGCTCTGGAGGGTTTGCGGTCCCACCCGGCCCTCGGGCATCGAACCACCGCTCGTCCTGCAGGACCTCATGCAAAGCCGGTTCGCCAGCAACAGCGGCAACTGTCTCGAGAAAGAGCTCGAACAGTGAGCTGGCGAGGGCCCGCTGCGCTGCTGCGGCAATGACGCCACTCCAGCGGGAGACGCAGGCCGCACGCAAAGCGAGCGCACTCGTGGCACGTGATGGGTGTAAGGAGCAGCAAGAAGTCTGTGGGTTCAGGACAGCGAAAACCACAAGGCTGCAGCGCGGCGAGCGCGACAGCACGGGGGGGTGTAGGTGACGCGACGCTTGTGCCTGCGAGCTGAAGAGCGAGGCCGGGTTGCGAGTCAGCGCCCGGCCGGGGCTCACCGGAGCCAGTGACGAGACTGACGCAGGTGGTGTCGACAGCGAGCTGGGCCCCGTGCTAAAGCAGCAAGCCATTGCAAACGATCTCGATCATCGGCTACCGGCACCGGGAGATCCATGTCGGCAAAATGCATGTTGGGGGCGACCCGTGCCCCAGCCTGTTGGCAGACCCGGGTTCCGAGCGGCAGCGGCTAGTGCAGGCGGCGCAGCATGAGCACCAGACCTCTGCCGGGGGGATGGTACCTGCTTCGTGCGTGGGCAGACCGTGACGCAGCAGGCGGCGTACGGCCCATCTTGGGACAGCCGCAGCAGCGTGCCGCTGCCAGTCGCGGAGGCGGTTGCTTGGCTGGGCGCCAGCTTTTTCGGGCGTGGGGCACAGGGCTCGGGGGCCTGCGCCGCGAGCGATGCAGGTGCAACAGAAGCGCGTGACCTCACAATCGCTGGGCATGTTTATTCGGCAAAAATAGGCGGAGTTGTATTGCATTTCCGACGGCGCAGAATCGCCCACCTTGCGCGTCTAGGCCGCTTCGGTGCCGCACAAGGACAATCCGTCGATGTTGGTGACGAAGCATCTGTCTGACAGACAAAATTCGAAACCCGACTTAGGGCTTGGGGTTCTGCATGTGCATACAGGGCGATGAACGGTGTAGAAAGACGATCTGCTCACAGAGACACACTTGAGCTTAGGGTGTTCAGTGCCAGAGCATTCCATAGTTACGTTACATATCGTTACCCTGTACCATGTCGATGTGTGACCTGCAAACATCTCCAAAAACAACTGTGTATGGGTGCTCGTCTTGAGAATCATTCCTTTGCCGTCGCCAGTTGTGGTTGGTCTAGTCGTGTTGTCCAAGCAATGGCCACGCGTTGTTTCCAAGATGGCTTTGTTTGCAGGGGTCCTAGCATTCACGCCTTCGGCATGCCGTGCTTGTTTTGCTTGTTATGGCCTCATGACAGGAAGTTCCGATTTGCATTCATCATTAAACAAGCAGCATGCCATGTGAGGATCGTCGCCTCCTTGCATACTTGGATGATGGTGGTTGGGCTGGCTCAGGAGCCGGCGTGTTGCAGATTTCCCAAGGTTTCGGCCCCTGGAAGTGTTGCAACGTTCCAAAGTATCGGAATGTACGCTTGATTGCTAACGATTTCTGAGGTTCGTGTTTGTGTTGCCAGACACGCGTAGGTTTGCGAGCTGAGAGCTTGTGTACGTGTATGCCGGGCTATGCCTTAAGGCACCTGAGGTAACATGAGCACATTGTGATGCATTGGATGCGACCCGACACCCTTAGCCTTAACGCCGAACCCGAAATTTTCAGGCCTGAACACTTTCGGGATTTCAAGCGTCAGCTGGACGGTGCGAACGGGTGTTTGGAGAGCCTTCGCTTGCTTCACGGGTTCGGATGATGCGAGCCTTGTTATTGTTTCGCACCATGTGCTGCACTTTGCACGGGTACGACGTCAAATCCGTTTTTTCAATCTTGAAGCGAGGAACATTTCACGACCGCATCGTGGGCTATCAGCAGGACTGTGACATTGAAATGTTGCTGTTTCAAGCTGAGGTTGGTTTGCAAGTAGCAGGCAGCATGGGCAAGAATCAATATCCGCATTATGACCTGAGCCACCACATGTCATCACATATTGATAGTCCTTGTGTCGCTTTGCTGGTGTATTGCTTCCAAGCTACGCGAACTCCCCGCAGCGTTCGTGCTCAAACGTCACAGGAGCGATAGAGATCCGATAACATCCGATAAGAGTCGCCCATGATTGGGTTCATCACAGACTGTGAAGGCGACTATGGTTATTGGAGTCGAAGTGTGTCGTTGAGCCAGGTCGTGGAGTTCGATTCCGAGGGGCAGCTTGCCTTCAAGAGGAAAGAAGCCTCGGATTCCTTCGTTTTCGGTGGCGATGTTTTCGACAAGGGCGACGGGGACCTGCGAATCGCAAAGCAGCTCCTGAGCTTCAAGAAGTCCCACCCGGATCGTGTTTGGCTCTTAGCCGGGAACCGTGACCTCAACAAGTTGCGCTTCCCTGCAGAGCTGGCCGAGGATGAGATCGATGTGCCCCAGCCCGTGCCCCTCTATCCGAGGGCGCCGCCCCAGGTGTCCCTGCGGAGCTTCTTGGAGAAACGACTGGAGAGCTCAGCCGGCAAGACCGTGCAGGATATGAACACGAGCGCCAACCGGCTTCGCTGGATTTTGGACCATACTATGACCGCTACTGGTGCCTTTGAGCTAAGGCAGAAGGAGCTAGCATTGCTCTCCGGCCAAGAGGTTAGTGAGATTCATGAGGACGATGTTGTGGAAAGCTTTCTGACGTCCGTTTCGAAGGAGGACGGTGTGGTGTGGGAGTATCTCCTTCACAGCTGCCTGCTGGTGATGCTAGGGGATTGCTTGTTTGTGCATGGTGGCCTTCCCAAGGAAGCCATCAACTGGGTCCCAACAATGGACATGCGCTACTTGCAACCTGCAGAAGGGGCAGTTTGTGGGGGTAGGCGCATGGAAGGCACGCTGCAAGATTGGATGAAAGCAATGAGCCTGGGCTGCTCACGGAGGTTTTCTCGATGTTGCTTTTGCAGAAGCAATTCCAACGCAAAACGCGTCGAGGAACAAGCTGCTAGTAGTTTGAGCAACATGCTTGATGAATAGGTTCATGATTCATGGGCACCCAGGAATGACTTTATGCAGGAGGGGCTGCGGGACTTTCGGGAGAAGATGTACTGGGGGCCAGGCCGCACGCGAGGGGGTGAAGGCCTCCTGTGCCTCACCAGCACGCCAGCCTGCTTTCGGCGCTCGGTGGTGGTGGAGCCACCCGACAATATTCATAAAGGGTTTGGAGTTGAGGGTTTGGGGTTTCCTGTTGCGTTAAAGGGCATTGGTGTCGCTTAGTATCTAGTGACTCAGGTTCAAGCGCTCGGGGATGCCTAGCCACAAGGGATTCTTTCGCATAGTATTTTCGAGGTCGTTGTTGCAAGGGGGCACGCCGGACCATTTGGACAAGGATGTCGAGGCCTTCCTGGTCAAGGGAGGCGTGCGGACGGTGTTCTGTGGGCACAAGCCTTGCGGTGACTCACCCTTCGTGGTTCGGGGTGACCATGTCGCGGTGGTCCACTGCGACACGACCTACAGCGATGGCGCGGCCCCAGACAAGCGTGGCTCCGCAGTAGCGGCGGTGGAGGTGAGCGCACCCACCTCGGGTGAGCTGCAGCTTCGTGGCGTCCTGGCCGACGGACGGAGCTACGACTTCGCGCTCTACGGCGACAGTGGCGATGACTTGGTTGGGCGTCAGTGCCGTGACGGATCTTGGGTGAAGGCCAAGCTCCCCGAAGGCTGCTGTTGGGCTGCGTTTAAGATTTGTGAGCTTGTTGTCCATTTCTTTCCGAAGCATTTTGGACTGGATTCACACAATACTCGTAGAACACAAACTTGTTCTCGTAATGTTTTTGTCATGTGCATGTCCTTCATAGAAACTCGTTAGAATCTGTACAGCCAGTCGTGGTTTCCCCCAGTGGACACAAGAGATTACGATGCAGGCTGCAGAAGTCGCCTCTTGTCCTCGCAGCAATTACCCGCGACCATCATAATCACCATCAACACCACCACAACCATCATCATCATCATCATCACCATCGCCACCACCATCATCATCGTCATCGTCATCGTCATCGTCATCATCATCATCATCACCATCGCCAGGGCCATCGTCATCGCCAGGCCATCACCATCATCATCATCACCACCACCTCATCACCATCATTGCCGTCATCACTTTTACTTGCATCATCATAATCATCACCACCATCATCATCACCTCCTCTTCCCCACCTGCGGCCCATCTCCATCATCACCACATCCACCCCGCTCTCATTTGAACTGCTATCGGAGCTATCGTCATCGGCCTCGCCAGCATTGTCCTAACATTCACCACCATCACCACCGAATCTCATTGTCACCCTCCTGTCCACCACCATCACCATCACCGCCACCATCGGTAAACCGAACTTCCGAAACCGGCAACTCGGAAGAGCTTCTAACACCGAGGTTACCATGTGGTGTCCAGTGAGGGCACACGAAAGTTGAGGTATGATACCCGCAGCCAGGAAGAGCTGCAAGGGCTTTTGGCCCGCCATGCTTGAAAATCGAATGAGGTCCGAGAGTCTTGAGCTCTGTTTGGGTTGATTCCAATGCGTGAAGGCAGTGTGCTGGCTGACACCGGACCGCGACAGGTCAATCGTGCAATCCAGAGCGCAAGGAATTTGCAGAGGGTACCCCCAATCCGAGCCCTCAACTGCGAATCCTAGAGTCCTAAACTCTCAATCCCAAAGCCTGCCCTGCTTCGCAGGGTTTAGAAGTTTATGAGATTCAGTTTGGACTTACGGAAGACTGGGAGCATAGGATGTAAATCTGGTGATCTCATCAGGACTTGAATGAGATCGAGAGGCCGGGGGCGCTGATCGGGCGAGGGAGGTTCCATCGAACACCTCCAGCCCGCCAAGCTTCAGCAAAGGGTACAGAGTTTAGGGTTTAGGGCTTTTCGGTCTTGCAACAAAGGGTTTAAACAGCCTTAGAAGTTCACTTGTGGGCTTCTCAGTGTTGAGACCGCCCAGGGTGTCAGCAATAGCGGTCGCACAGGTGCGGGAGGTTGTTGCAAAATTTGCGGTTACAACTTGGGGTTTTGGTTCTATCAGTCGTGTTGTTGATTGTGGGTATGCGGTGTTCCCTATTCTCTGAAGCCAGCATTTCTTGTCCGGGGCTTCCAGTATGTACGCCAGGCATGTCTTAATCCCATAGACAGGCAATATACGACATACAGATTTCCGGGATTTTACATCCTAACCCTAAACCCTAAGCAGCCGAAGCCCTGCAAGGTAGCCTTTCGAGCCTGCCGTGCGGGAGCCAAAAAAGCCGAAGCCGTTAAACACTTCTCCCTGCCCCGAAAGCTATGCCCTAAACCCGAAACCCGAAAGCCGAAAGCCCGAAAGCCATGGTCTAGAGCCCTGGAGATGGAATTTGGGCGCTGGAGTTTTCGGGTTCAGGGTTTGGTGGTTAGGGTTGGGCTGCAGCCCCTCCTTAAAACGGGTTTAGGGTTTAGGGGTTGAGTTTAGGGGACATTTAGGGATTTGGGCGCCGCCCAAAGCCTAAAAACAAAAACTTGCGCCACAACTTCCGGAAAGGTTTAGGGTTTAGGGTCCGGGAAGGTTTGAATCCAAAGAACCCAAAACCCGAAAGCCCTCCGAAGCCCTCCAAAGCCCTCCAAAGCCCTGTGCCCGAAAAGGCCGTAAATAAAGTTTTGAAAGCCCAAACCCTAAACCCTATACTGTGAACTACCCAAGCCTACTTTTGTTGCGGGGTCCTGCCAAAGTTCTAGATTAGAGTTTTATATTCAGAATCTACAAACAAAGGTAGGTTATGGTATTTTGAAGTGGCGCGAAGCCTTAGCCTGCAAATCCTAAATCGGCCGCAGGGAGCTTTTCAAGTACCAGCACGTGCTGGGCCCCGGCCGGGTGAAGGTGAAGGACTGCCGTTTCATGACTCAGGGTTCAGGGTTTCGGGTTTTCCATGGGTGTGAGGTTCCCTCCACTGCTTCCGCTGAGGTGGGGGGAACTTGAGAAATGCTTGTTTGTGGCGTTTTTTCACAATTGTGCTTAGCCTTCCTGTGGCAGAGGACTTACGGCAGTTCCGGGTTCTGTATCGCCGCTTCAGAGCTTGCGTTTCGGTTTCTGAATGCAAAGTCTGCAGTGCTTCCCAGATTCCCATGGGACGGGAGTCCGACTTCTGTCCAGACTACAATTCAACAGCGCTTCCCTGGAGCGATTTGCATACCAAAGTGTCCGAGGTCTTGGCATGTGCCCTGAACTCGGATTGCGGCCGCAAGTTGCCACTACCGCCATACAGGTTTCTTCTCCCGATCGCGGATGAGATTTGCTATCGGGACAGCGCCGACTTGGCACGTGTGAAGCTGCTGTGTCCTGCCGGGTTTGCTTTGGCATATGCTTGCGTGATCTTCTTTGGGCAATTGGAGTCGAGTACAGATCCTGTCCAAATCTATGGCAGTGGGAAGTTTGCCGCAAAGCTGTTCTTCGACCTTTCCCCATCACTTGAACTCTCAGAGCTTTCCTTTGGTGGGGCGAGGCCGCTGCGACTGCTGAGCTTTCTTGGGTTTCAGTCGCAGCGGGCGCTGATACGAGTACTGAACATGCCGGCACAAAATCCCGCGACGCCTCGGGAATCTTCCAGCTTCTGGTTGTCCTTCGAAGGTCTGAACACCTCCACCCAAGGTGCTCGGGACGAGGGGAGGCGGCACTTCTTCGCACTCGCACCAAGGCTCTGCATTGAGGTCGTCCACCCCGCTGAAACGCCCCTGTCGCTCCTGCGGAATTCCGTGGAGTCGCTGGCCTCTGTGGGTGTTCTCGCAGGCTCCTCGCAAATCTCGCTGGCCGTGCGATTGCAGGGCGGCTGCGGAGGTGCGTGGTCCAATGACGAGGCCCCGGAGGGCTGGTACTTGGCCTGGCTCGGGCAGCGCTTCCGTTGCACCCGGCTCTGTGGGGATGAGGTGAAGAATGCTTGCCGGGACGAGCCCGGTGTCATGCTCCTCGTTCACAGCTCTTGGCATGCACTCCCGTTCCGGCCCGAAACCTGGTGGTTGATGCTGCATCAGGCGGCGGCGCTACTCTCAGGCAAGCACGGTGGGCCGCGCATCGCAGCCGTCTCCCTGATGGAGAAGACGCTGCAGGGAGCACAGGGTGCCTTGGGATCTGGAGGCCGCGCTTTGAAAGCGCTGAACCGGCAGACCGATGAAGGCGACTGGAAGAATCTGGTGTTGAGTGTTCCAGCAATGTCTTCGAGCTGGAACCTGACCGAGGTTCAAGACAAGCTGTCCGAGATTTACTACCTCTTTTCCGAAAATGCTCGAGACAAATCATGGTCAGGAACAACACCCCCTGAGGGCATACAGCAGTGCACGCCCTCCTTGCCGAACCTGTGTGCACCCAAGTCCTGGTGGAAGGACTGGAGCCAAGACGTGTGGCTGCTCCCGTGTGCACACTTTCAACCGGCTGGCGGTGCTCAGGGAGGAGAGAGCTTCGCGGCTCTCTTTGACGGGCTCTTTTTGCCTGGCAGAGGGTTTAGCTATGACCACGCCCCGTCCGCCCAGACAGCATTGGGCATACCGCCGTGTTACGCCTGCCATCAAGTGAAGCCAGCAGGCTCTGACTTCACAGTGTACATCTCCGTGTTGGACGTGCTAGGCCCCTGTCGCGAGCTCTTCAGCAATATCTTCATGGATGCGCTGGAGGCCTTGCAGCTCGCATCCTTCCAGGGACCTCAGGTAGTCTTGGTCGAGCCTTTTATCTGCAACGCAGTTTGGCAGCGTTACGGAGAGCTGGAGGCGGCCGAGCTGCGCGCCAAAGCTCTGGCAGAAGGTCGGGACTGGTCCATCTACTCCAACTGGAATCAGAAACTTCGTAGCTGAAGAGGCAACCTTTTTCGGTTCTAGGGTTCGTTCGCATGATTTCTACCATAGCGAGAATTGGATGTAAAAGAGCCTAGCCAACGAAGGAAGACCGCTTGCGGCCTTCGCCACGGCAGCGTCACGGCCTTCGGAGCGCTCTTCGATTGGCCAAAGCTCACGTCCTGGTTGCAGGAGGTCCGTGGCATTCGGGGCCAGATTTCTTGGGAGGAATTTCTTCGACGCACGGATGGCACCGTGGATGTGTTGGCCATGCAAGCTGATCACCCCAACGAAGGTGGCCAAAGAGTGCCTTGTGGGGACTCCGAGCAGCCAGAGGTCATGCGTTTCTACGAGTCCAACTTGAACATCCAGCGCCGCGTCTGTGTACGCAACACGCAGCACAGCGATGGCTTTGAGCTTCGCTTGTTGGATGAAGGCCGGTTGGCAGAAACTGTGCAGAGCGCTGTCGCGCAGGCGAAGTCATCAGGAAAAGCTTGGGCTTCTGTCGGTCTGTACCTCTATTGGGTCGAAGGTGCAGAAAGGGCACGTCTCCATCCCGGTCGGTATGGCTACCTATCTGTCCACTCCTTCTACACTTCCATCTGGCGCGGGCTTCGGTTCTCGCACTGGGTCTATCAGCGGGCTGCAGAGGTTGCCAGAAAGCTGAAGCTCCGAGTTGGCAGGAGTGGCTCCGAATCTTTGGGGCGAAGTCCTTACATGGCGGCTCATTGGCGGAAGGGAGACTGGTTCCTGGGCCCGCACCCACGGAAGCTCCAGCAGGCTGAACTCGCCGAGGTGCCCAAGTTTGCCTCGATGTTGAAAGAGCACCTCCAAAGGCTCGGCCTAAGAAGTCTCTTTTTGATGACGAATGCTCCGGTTGCCAGCAAGGCCGTGAAAGATCTGAGGCGCGAGCTTGCGGGCACGGCAGAGCTGGTTCTGGCAAAGCCGCTTCTGGGGGACAGCAACAGCCTGCGGCAGCTTTGTGTGGAGATGGCACTGGCCGCGGCCTCCGACTTCTTCATCGCCTTTGGAGACGGGCTCATCCGTGGCCACGTCTCCATGCCATCTTTGTTGGTGATGCAGATGAGGTTGCACGCGGAATCCTGGCCTCTTCAGTCACATGCCTTCTCCTTCGCTGCACCGGGCCATTTTGATGAGGACTGGCTTGGCCTCTGAGAAAGCAAGGGTCTAGGGTTTGCCTTAAGCTACGATAACCTACATTTTTGTAGGTTCTTCTTATAAACAACCCTCGGATGAATTTATAGGGACCCTACAAGAAAACAGTTGGTGTTTTGGTAGATGAAGGCAGGGTTTAAGGAAGAGCGGAGGCGGTCTACCACGACCAGCCGCGCAAAGCTCCATAAGGCTACGGGAAGAAAGTGGGTTGCAACCCGGGTTTAGGGTTTAGGGTTGCGACCTGATGAGCAGACCGTTGCATCAAAATTCTCCAACAAGGGACATGTAGAGCAGGAATACGAACAGGGGAATTGCAGAATCAGGTTCCTGCAGTAGGGTAGCAGAGCGTTGACAAGAAGGCCCCAGTAAGTTTCTGCAAGAAGCTTTGCAAGCTCGTTGTATGCCGTGGCAGCGGAAACCCGAGGCCGTCACTGTGCGGAAACTCACAAGCCGCATGTCTACAGTTGCGGTAGCCACGTTCGTTGAAACTCCAGTACGAAGCCTCATCAG